AAATGTGGCTATTGTGAATGGTGAATGGTGGGTGGAATAAGCAGCGCCGGAGCCATTAAGGCAAATTGTTGTCATTATGAGGGCGTCGGCTATATTTCATGTATTTAATTCTTCAATCTCGTTCGCAAAATGACCCATCGTCATTCAGAAAAAATGGTGGAGCGGCCTGGAAGATGTTCTATGGACAAAAGTCCATACACACACGCAGATCAGGGGCGTGTTGTGTCCGTTCGGGCTGAACGATTTGGGGAAAATATATAATTGCGATTTTTCTGACATTGCAATTGCGATTTGATTTGCGATTACATTTTTTTTGTCAAGCTTCAGTTCAATATTCACTCTGTTATAGATTTAAAACATGTGATGGAGCATTACCACGTGATGCCATCAACATATGAACTGCTCTATATATTCTAATGCAAGGATGATAACTTAAAAGATATGAATTGCTTCCAACATGTAGATTTTTTTTATTGAAATAGAACAATCAAACATAGAACAATTGTTAAGTTAAATAAAAAAAGTTTTAATAATAAAAAACTAAACAATTCCAATAAGAAAGTAATGGGACTTTTCAATCGCAAAAAAAATGCAGCCTTTACAATTTGCTAATCGCATCGTTTCAAATTGCGATTTCGATTTTAAATCGATTCATCGTTCAGCTCTAGTGTAGACGGGTGCATTGTACCGATGCTCATTGCTGCGCTTACAATCTGCCGTAATTATTGATATTGGGGAGAAACGAAAACGGATCCCCTTCCAAATGGAAGAAGGCAAGGCGAGCTTCCTCCAGCACCAACGCGAATATTATTTGTTTTATTCTGAAGATAGAGCTCACTATAAGGTCCCCCTCTTCCCTCGGGGATTCATGTCTCTGCGGGCCTCATTTTTAAGAGTTGGTCACAGAGAGGGAGAGAGAGAGAGAGAGAAACAAACTATATTTTTCAGTCCATAGATTTTGTTTTCACTCTGTGAATTCCAGTTAGGTTGAGTTGACAGGGTTAAGACATTGCTGTGTATTGAAGAATGGCGAAGCGTCTGTAACATCAGTTTTCCATCTCTTCCAGACACACACACACGGCTCTGAGGCACACAACGTTTGTTGGGAGGCACAGGGCTGGGTTGTCACTCAGGAGAAGAGGGGAATACCCCAACAAACCGAGGCGATTTGTTTTCCTCCGGCAACTGTAGACTTCTCCTGGCAGTCGGATAATTGAGACGTGACCACTCGACCCAGTTTGACTCTTTCCATTTGATGAGATCGCGTCTCCGGCGCTCCAATTGATAACTGAAATTGTTTCAGTTCATTTATTATTTCAATCCTCGCGTGCCTACTCCACTGTAGGGCTGAACGATTAATCGATTTCAAATCGAAATCGCAATTTGAAACAATGCGATGAGCAAATCGCAAAGGCTGCGATTTTTTTTGCGATTTGAAAAGTCATTACTTTCCTATTGGAATTGTTTTATTTGTAGTTATTATAACTTTATTTATTTAACTTAACAATTGTTCTATGTTTGATTGTTCTATTTCAATTGAAACATTTTAATTAATAAATGTTGGAATCAATGCATATATTTTAAGTTCTCATCCTTGCATTAGAATATATAGATCAGTTCATATTTTGATGGTATCACGTGGTAATGCTCCATCACGTGTTTTAAATCTATTACACAGTGAATATTGAACTGAAGCTTGACTTTAAAAAATGTAATCGCAAATCAAATCGCAATCGAAATATCTGTCAGAAAAATCGCAATTAGATATTTTCCCCAAATCGTTCAGCCCTATTCCACTGTGCAGGATTTGCCGTTATGGAATAAGTGGGTGGGGCGGGGGGGTAGGGAGAGGTCGCGTAAATAAACACTGAAGCGAATAGCGGCATATCGGGCCACAGCACGACAAAATAACAACCGGCTAATGCGTGCTCACCGTGTGAGAGGCAACTGTCAAAACAATTACGCCAAGCGAAAGGAGATTTTTAATGATGGGGGCAATAAATACGTTCTTCGTCAGGTCCCTTTGTGCTCTCGTAAACATTATAATTACCCGCATTCCCCCCGAGGCTGATCAAAATCCTGTTTCTCTGCTGCTAAGGGTCAAATAAAAAAAGTGAATCCACAGAGGGCCCAAGCCCTTCCCCTCGCCTGCATTCTGCTCGATTGCTCTGCGACTTCTTGCTGGATTGTTTTAATCTGGGTAAACGCGTCTCGCAGTGATTCACAGCGGCTTTCTCGCGGGGCCAATATTCGTGATGAACGCCGCGCTGTAAATTATTAGGCTCCCATCAGTCATTCAATTAACGGAATTGGTCACTGAAAACAAGAGCCGCCAACGAAAAAAATCTCTTTTTTTTTTACTAAAATATAAACCCCCACCACCACTTTAAGATAAACCAGGCCCTCCTTTTGGAGTAACAACCACGCGGTGTTTAAGCGTCTCCCCGCCACGTTAAGTATTCTTTATTGCTTCATCCTGACCGCGTCGCACCGGGGCGTGTTGCGTTATCGACCCTGGTCACGCGCCTGGCGCCTGACTCGGCTTCGTCTTCCCCATCGGCTCGGCCGCGTCAAACGTCACGCAAAGAAGCCTCCTCCCGTGGTGCGAAATCGCCTGCTGCTGCACATCAAGCGCAGCAAGCGGTAGACATCTCCCACTGCTCCGCTGGTGGGGGGGAGCAGACGAGGATGCGGTTGCCCCGGAGGCTTAACCATTTAAAATGTTACCAGGCAGGGCCCACAAAGTATACATAGCTCTTTTTTCAGAAGCGACTTGGCCACAAATGATAGCCCGGCTAAAGTGGCTTGTCACGTGGACATTTATAAGCAGCCAAATACTCTAAACGCACGTTTCCAGTTGTGGAGGGGAAAATCGGAGGACGCAAACTCCAAATATACAACAGGCGTCAGGGTCAGGATCGAACCCACGACCTCCTGCATACCAGGCGAGGTAGTCAACATCTCGCCAGCGCGGCGACCGAGTTGCGAGACCGATGACACTCAAGTGTGTGGACTCACCTTAACAGAGGCATTCGATTGAGGGTGGGGTTTTATTATGTGTGGGTGGGGGAGGGGCTGGGGAAGGTGGGTGGAGGGTTGGGAGGGGTGGTGCGCAGTGGGGGGGGGGGGGGTCAATGCTTTATTGGAGAATAACCCGCGGTGATGCAGGGCTGCAGTCAATAGAGCATCGCGCGCCAGCAGCCTTCTTGGGTGCTTTAGCGCACCGCAGTAATCTCCGCTGAGCACGCTCGGCAAACGCGTGCTTCTGCCGCACCAGCAAAAAAATATATATACCGATCTTTTTCCATAGCGCAGATTAGATTCTGTATCGCGGAGATCAATAAGATACACACACCTTTGCTGGAGAAATCCGTAATTTGTAAATTCCCGGGAAGTGTGTGGACAGTCATGCGACAAAGACAACCGCGGATTCGTCTCGTCGCTGCTTTCTGCTGCCATTATCGCTGGGAGGGAACGGTTTCTTATAAAATTTTGACATTTTTAGCCGCACGACTTTAATCTCTAACAATATCAAGAAATAGCCCAGCCGGGGCCAAAACTCTGAGATTTCATTTTCCTTTCAGCGATAGAAGGAAAAATGTCCTCGCTTTTTCATGTTCATTCAATTACGCCGTGTATGATCACCGAAGCGGCAATAACCCAAGTTGGCTCACGATACGAGTCAATTACTCTTGCTGTAAGTTGATGCACATGGACCTATAGACAATATACAGTGTACACGTACGGGGATTTGTCAATCCACTGCTGGATGAAGGCCTCCCCCAAACCCGCGCGGGTCAAACGAGTTAGCAAACCATACTTCACCATGTGGGGTTAGTGAAGGTGTGGGACACAGATGTGGGAGCACAGTAGTACAGTCCAGTAATGGATGTTTGCTGCAATGGAGCTGTCGCGCAGAGGTAGATGCACCGTGCCCTGAGCCTGTCGGACAGAATTTGATGTCCCAGTCACGGCTGACATCGGTGGCCGTGACTGGGACACGGCTGACATCGGTGGCAACCCGCACTGACGATTGTGGTTAAGGATGGTAAATAAATAAACACGCACAATCAGCATGCCGTGTGGTGAGGTCATCACCCAGCAGTGGATCGACAGTGGTCCGAAAATAATGATGATTACGATTTTATGAATACTGAATTATTTTCAAAACCATGCTCAAGCAAGCGTGGCATAGCACTCAACTGCATTGGTGACCCAGAGCGAGTGATGGAAAATCCACATTCCTATGGTGGGGGCCAGTCTCTCCATCAGAGAACACCAACTTTCGCAAAGCAGGATTATGTTTTATTCACTGCAGATGGATGGTTGGGTGAGTCCAACTTACAACCTTCTAAATTAAGCGCTCAAAAATGCAGCCTACGCAAGCTGTATTTATATTAAACTGCAAGTGCATATTTACGTGATGTGTTGAAAAATATTTACATCAGTCAAACACAGTGCACAGCTGTTAACTGCTTTCAATTATGCATTGCCTTGCTACGACGCGATCCACGGAGACCTGAGTGACTCATGTCGCATCTGCATGCTTGACAAAATCTGTCTCTCCACGTGTCTCTCTCTGAAACCATCTATGTGTCTCTCCGTATCTCCCGCTGTGCATGACTCTGACTCCCTCCCCATCTTTCTCTCAATGTTTGTCTCTGTGTCTCAACCTGCCATGTCTCTCTCTCCATACATCCATCTCTCCAAGTCTCTCTCTCCCTCTCCCCATATCTCTTTCGGTCTTTATCTCTTAATTTCTGTCCCCACGTCTCTCTCCCTCTTCATCTCTCTCTGTGCATCTCTCCATCTCTCTTTCTCTCTTCGGTTTTACCCATCACTCTGTATCTCCCTCTCTCTCTCCGTGTGCATCTCTCCATCTCTTTCCGCGTCTCTCTCTCCATCTCTCTCCCTCCCTCCATCTCTCAGTGCACCTCTAACTCGCTCGATCCGTCTCCCTCTCCGGCTCTCCTCTCCCCCCCCCCCCCCCGTGCCGGCAGCCTGCGGGAACCTGACAGGGATCAGCAATCCGGACACGGTGAAGACATCCGGCTCGCGGTTCGGCGCGTGGATGACGGACCCACTCGCCTCCGAGAAAGACAACCGGGTAAGCCACCTGGGCGGGGGGTGGGGGCGGAGGAAAGGTGGTGGAGGGGTGGGGGGGGGCAGGTGGTTGCCAGGGCGACCAGCACCAAAATTAGCGTCACCATGACGCCCAGAAGTGGGGCCTGTGCAAAAGCGATAACGCCTCAATTTATTACTCTGGGGACCGCATTAATCATCCTTTGTGCTTTTAAGGGAAGGAACCCCCGGCTCTTGGTGCGATGTTTTTTTTTTGCTGGAAAATGTTAATTCAATCCCAGTGCTTGTGATGCCTTTACTGTCGTAAATTAATGTGGCAGATTTTTCATAAACAAAATCCAGGCCTTTAAATTCCCATGGCCAATTAAGAATAAACGCTTCATAAGAACATTATATAAAATGTATTATTGATGGGTTATTACAGGTCTGCCTGCAGCAAGGAAGTGGGTAAAAATAAATAGGTTGCGAAATTCAATGCAGTCTCTGTGGAATTGTAGAGAATAGGATAATGTGATTTATTTTCTTCTTCAATATTCTGTTTTCACACAAGTACTCCCAAACAGCAATAAAGCAAAACATCTAGGAGATGGCAACACGATTATCTTCCCCTTCATCAGTAAATAACTGTCTGCCATCCCAAAGTGCCAGGCACCGCCACGTGGTACAATTTAACATCGCACGAAATCACGTCTCAAGCTATTGATGGAACAATTGTTGGCAATTAAAGCCCTTTTTTTTCGTTCGTTTAAATTGACAAACAAACGAGAGTTGGTACACTGTAGAGTGCGCCACTTTGCTGGATGTCTCTACCCAAGCGTAAGGCTCAGCAACTGCGCCGGGGTTTCAACGCGGCCCAAGCTTTTGTCATGAGCCGCTTGCGGGTGTCTTCGATATCCTCACGGATGGCCACGGAAGTGCGTGGCAGAAGTTTGATCACGTGTAAAATTAAGTGCACTTGATCTGCACTGTGTTTAAAATGCTCAACGCGTAGCCCAACCTAGAAAAACAAAAACTACATTATTCTTATTTTTTTACCAGGTAATACCCACTGAGCTATGGAGCTCTTATTAAGAAGCTACCTGGCCACAAATGAGACCCAAACGAAGTGGCTTATCACGTGGACATTTATAAGCAGCCAAATACTGTAAATGCATTTCTAAATGTGGAGGTAAGAACCAGAGGGCCAGGAAAAAAATCCCACTAGACTATGGGGAGAGAGACATGCAAACTCCAAATATAAGGCGTCAGGGTTGGGATCGAACCCACAACCTCCTGCATACCAGGCGAGGCAGTGATCATCTTTACCACCGTGGAAATCCATACTCAGATCACGAGCAGCGGCTCTGAAAAGTTTCCAGTCAATAATATGTCGTATTTTTTTTTAAAAGCAAAGCAATCGAAACAAAAAACGTTAGTTTTTGCTACAAGACTGCCGGCTATCTAAAAAAAAATTCCCGACAAAATGCTGACCTGTCCAATTCAAATTAATTGAACGATATTCTTGCCGTGCGCTGACGTTGAGGTTTATTTTAAGTGGATGTGCACATGTTAATTTTTGCAAGTCCGTGTCAGCTCATGTGAGAATTTTCCCATCTGTTTGTTGGACATTTCGTTGAGGATATAGTTTTACGTCAGATGATGACTTCAAACTGATTCTCACATGTCGCCAAGTGACGGTAGTTATTCCCCCACATGTTTTTGCTACGCAGTCGGAACTCTCATTAAGCCATTTGTCATTAAACCAGAAAATTAAACAAAAGTAAAACTATCCGGATAAATTCATCCAATATAATTCTTGAATTTGGGGAGGGGAGTGGCCGGTGGGGTAGGGCTGGTGGGGGAAGCAGCGTTGCTTAGTGCTAATTGTAAAATATGATTTCAAGTATAGCAAGCACCAAACACAGAAAAAATGATGTGGATATTAACATGTTTTCTACGTAACGACAGACACAGCAGAGAAATGTTGAAGCGTGATAATTGAAAAATACATTTAGGGCACCCATTAAAATAAGGCACAAGAGTTTTGCAGAATCCAATTTTTTCTTGTTGCAAATTCGCCGCTCGATATTGTATATCGATTTCTTTCCCAAGTCAAAAATGCTGTCGCTGAGCAACACGTTTCAAAATATCAAGTGATACCAACAAGACACGTATCCTACATCTTGAACAAGAGCTCGTACGAATTAATGTTGAAGGATTAACTGTGGTCCAAGGCAAACTAATACTCGTTCATTCACATTATATTTATCACGAGAGAGTATGAGGTCATTCTCACGGTTTCTGCTTAAGTGGCCCCTGTGGAACGCAAATGTTATTACAAGCACATTGACGGTCAGATGCTGAGAATGAGTCAACTTCAAGCCCTATTTGCAAGGATGCTCTCCTCTGCTCCACAATAATAATTGCGCACTTTTAGCATTCACGCAGCAATTCCCGTAACACGAGGCTATCGCGGGGGCGCTGTATGTCACGCAGAATCTGTAGCCGTTTGACGGTTGGGGGGGCGGGTGGTGTGATCGCAGCATGTAATTCCCAATTGAGTAATTTGTGGGTAATTTTTCAAAATAAAGTGACCGCTTAATATTCGCAGGGGATACTGTTCCTGGAGAACGGCACAAATATGAAATGCTCGAATAAATATATACGATTTCAACTACTATTTTTATTTTTGCCAGGAAAGCCCCACGTAACTACGTAGGTCTTTTTCAGAAGCGACCTTCCCACAATTGATAGCTCAATGGAGTGGCTAATCACGTGGAAACTTATAGCAGCCAAATACTCTCAACGCATGTTTCTAAATGTGGAGGGAAACACCAGAGGACCTTGGATAAAATTCCACGTGACCACAGGGAGAGACAAGCAAACTCCAAATATACAGCAGGGGGTCAATGTCGAGATCGTACCCACGATCTCCTGTATGCCAGGCGTTGGAATTAACATCTCTCTACCATGGTGCCCCAAGGTCCAATTTAGCGTGACAGCCAACCTTGCAGCACTGCGGACCGATCCGTCTATCAAACCAGGAGGCACCCCTCAACGTTCGTCGCCGGTCCTGTCCATCCCCCCTGCGTTCGAATCGCCGGTGATGCAGACCCACCCCTCGCGTGACCCCTCGCGTGACCCCTCGCGTGACCCCTCGCGTGACCTCTCACGTGACCTCTCACGTGACCTCTCACGTGACCCCTCGCGTGACCCCTCGCGTGACCTCATCTGCACCTCCTCTCCCCCCCCCGCCCCACACACACACACACACAGGTGTGGTACATGGACAGCTACCTGAACACGCGCTCGGTGCGCGAATACCGCTCCATGGCGGAGTTCGCCACGAGCGACACCTTCGTGCTGCACCGCCTGCCGCACCCGTGGGCCGGCACGGGCCAGGTGGTGTTCAACGGGTCGCTCTACTTCAACAAGTACCAGAGCAACATGATCGTGCGCTACTGCCTGACCACGCGCACCATCCTGATGCAGCGCGTCCTCGACAAGGCCGGCTACAACAACATCTTCCCCTACTCGTGGGGCGGCCACACCGACATCGACCTCATGGTGGACGAGAACGGCCTCTGGGCCGTCTACTCGACCAACCAGAACGCGGGCAACATCGTCGTGGGCAAGCTGAACCCCAACACGCTGGAGCTGATCCGCTCGTGGGACACGGGCTACCCGAAGCGGAGCGCCGGCGAGGCGTTCATGATCTGCGGCAAGCTGTACGTGACCAACTCGCACATGGCCGGCGCCAAGGTCTACTACACGTACAGCACCAACTCGAGCACGTACGAGTACGTGGACATCCCCTTCCACAACATGTACTCGCACATCTCCATGCTAGACTACAACCCGCGCGACCGCGCCCTCTACGCCTGGAACAATGGCCACCAGGTGCTCTACAACGTCACGCTCTTTCACATCGTGGCCACCAGCAGCGCCACCAACAACAACGTGTGAGTGAGCGCGGAGGTGCCGCGGGTTTGGGGCGGGGGGGGGAGCGGCGGCGGGAAGTGGCGGGGGATGGGGGGCGGGGAATGGGAGGGGGGGGGGTGGAGGGTGCGGGGTGGTTGGGGGGGATCGCGTCGACTCATTCAGCAAGGGGAGCGAGCGAGAGAACGGCGATGCGTGAAGTGGGACGATCGGAGCGGCTGAATTTTGTAAAGGGAGCGAGGAGCCGAGTTAGAACGACGAGGTCAGGCAGAGCGATCGCAGAGACCGGGAAGAAGAAACGCAGTGTGAAAAATTCAACATTGTGTGGGTCGAACAATCTGGGTGACTGAATCCACGCGGCAGAGAGAGAGAGAGAGAGAAGGAACACAAGTGCAGCAACGGCGACGAAAGCTGCTCCACCGACGACGGTTGTCACATCGAGAGCAGGACGGGGAGCCACCGAGCGGAGGAACGTTTCAGAATTTTGCGTTCTCGCTCCGGACTCTCGCCCACCGCCCGTCGAGGTCCCGATCCGTCCCCGCGCACCGACACAAAACGGGGAACGTGGCAATAATCCATTCGTGACGGAGCAAGTGGCCCTTTGCTTCCACTCGCCCATCAAACACGACGACAAAAAAACGTTGAATCCCCACTCGCATCGAAGCCCCTGTGTCATTACACTCTGCAGGACGATATTGTTTCTGTCTTTATCCACCCAATTGTTTTTCATGCCGCATTAAAGTGCGTTTCCCAATCACCCTCTCGCAAACACAAAATCTGTGCGTTAAGATGTAAATATTAATTTTTTACTTGGAAGATGAGGGTTTGTCTTCCTCCTGCATCCAGTTTTCTTAATTGGCAAAGTACAAACAAAAAAACGGGCAATACAAAAGCAGCCAATCACGAGTGAAGATATCAACGTTTGGCGTTGATTGTCCTTAGATCACAGTTCACGTCAGATGCTCGCTGATAGACGGAGGAGTCGTCAGGGATTCCTGGCGTGGCGACGCTCGGATCTCGCCTTCGACGTCTTGAGTTCACTTTCAATTACGATATACGGGGTCACCTGCTGACAACCCCTTTCAATGTGTGCGCGTGACAATATATAACTCGTTTTTTTTGTGTGTGTGTGTTCGTTTGTTAATGGAAAAAAATTGGCGCGACGCTTGCGATGCTTTCTTCCCACAACCCACCAAGCGACCGCTCTGTGAGCTCCGACCTCCGGGCCGGTCAGCTCCGACCTCGCGAGGAAACCCGTCCGGGTAAAATTTTGTGAGGCCGGACACGCGGAAGTCATCACCGTCACCGACGCCGCCGGTGCCGCAGCTCGCCGGGCGGTGGAGCCCCTTGGGGAATGTGGCAGTTTCCAGTTTCAAACGGCAACAGATCTGGAGGGTGGCCGGTTCCACAGACGGAAGATCCCGCCTCTCCGATTAGCACAGTTGGCTACGTACGGTGTGAAAGAAGTTCAACGTGCATACAAAGAATCGCCGTACTGATGCTGTTGTGAAGTCCACGGTGGCGAGATGTTATCTGCCTCGCCTGGTATGCAGGAGGCATGGGTTCGATCCTGACCCTGACGCCTATTGTATATTTGGAGTTTGCGTGTTCTCCCCGTGGTGGTGTGGATTCTTCTCCGGGTCCTGCGGTTTTTCCCTACACATTCAGAATGAACACGCATTTAGAGTATTTGGCTCCTGATATAAATTTCCACGTGATAAGGCCAGGTCACTTCTGAAATAAAGCGAAATAGCTCAGTGGGACTTACCTGTAAAATAAATAGTTTTTGCTGGACATCTGTGAAAAAGAGCTTTATAGCTCACCAGATTCCTCCAGGAGAGATAAACATTCTGATTCGATGGCTAAACCCCATTTACCAAGGTGTGTTGAAGTCACTCCGGAGGAGCCCTCGCAACTCAGCGGATTTGCACGCACGCACACACTTGCGTATGCACACGCAGACACACGCGGGCACATCTACAATGAGACGCTGCCACAGACATCCACGGCGTCACGAGCCACAAGCAAGCAAGCAAGGTGGAGCCGGTGGTGGCCGCAACAGTGGATTGAGAAGGACGGCTTGATGCCACCGGCGGCGGTTAAACCGCACGGTGGTAGTGGTGACGTCGCCCCGAATCCATCGATGAGGATCGCCCGGAAAGCCACAAATTAGTGGCGCAGTTGGAAGGATGGTGGAGAGGAGGTGGAGCGGGGGAGTGAGTGTAACGGTGTAGCCGCATTCCGACATCGCTCCACGTCGTCTTGCGAGAAGGTTCCTCAGTTATTTTGGGGTCATTTGAATTTGAACGAAAGAAAAAAGAGACCTTCAAAATACGTTGGTTATGTGGAGGTTTATGCGTGCGGATGCTCTGTAAATATAAGTAATAAAGCAAGTTATTGGGAAAAAAATAAGAAAAGAGACTCTTTAAGGGAGTGACATATGACAACATCATCCATAACAGAAAATATTAAGCTATAATCAAAGTTGGAAGGTAACGAAAAAAATTGGACCCTGGGTGGAAGTATTTTTTATTTTCTCTCTACCCACCACCCAGACCTCCGTTGTTCTCCTCTGACCACGGCCACGGACCGACAGATCCCGTGGTACACGGTGGAGGGGCGACGTTGAGCGCGGTTATTCCTACGCGTGATCAACGCGTCCACACACGTGGCCGGGCGTCAATTACTGGCCCTAATACGAGTGATGTAGCAGCAACAACAACAACAACCAAACCGTAAACAAAAAAAACGCTAGGGGATCACATTGGGACACTGGCGCTACCACGTACGAATGCTTGGCTGTGCTGCGATTAGGAATCCCAACGTTTCCCACGGGATAGCCCAAACGTTACGCAGGCAGGGTTTATCGTCCCGCGATGATTACGGAAATACATAAATAAATCGCCCAATGCAGCCATTGCCCCGAGCGTATGGAGCACTCCAAAATACCGCCCCGATAAATCCCGAGGGGATTTAAAACGGCTCCAATTTTCGGCTGTTTCGATGAGCGCAAAAATTTATCTTTATGTTTTTTTTTACTGCATAGTTTAATAATATTAGCTCCTACGTGTGCAGTTTATCGCATTTGTAGAAAATCATACTTTGGCAGTCAGCAATATTCTGGAAAACATCATATCTTCTTAACTCCAATAATGCGGACATTCGGAATACATTCTGACAACGATGCCGCTCGCATTTTGTGATAGGGAGGAGCGAGAGAGCGAGAGATGGTCCCCACTCGTGTATGCCACCCATCGCAATCTGAAATCAATGCCGGTGTTCTCATCCACCGGCTGATGAAATGCATCCAATTCGGGTAGACGCAGTATGCAAGTTCCCCCAACGCAACCAGGCCAAAACAGCCCACAAACACATTGAACACCGGGCTTGAAGGGGAAAGTGGCAGTTTAAACCTTCTCTCGGGAACCGGAGAGCGGGATGGCCTCACGACCCACGCAGGGTGTTCTTTACGGAATTTTTGCTCAGTTGATGATGACTCAATTTAGGGATTGACGGGTGTGGCGTTGGGCGGAGAGAGGGAGGTGGGTGGGTGGGAGGCCGGGAGAGAGAGGGGAGTGAGAGGATGGAGGGTGCTCTATGTTATTGATCAAGTGGCAGGCACGATGGACAGAAGGCCACATTTTTTTATATTCATGAGTTTTTTGTTCGCCTTTGAGTCTGTTTTTTTTGCCACGATCGTCAAAGAGCAGAGAGGGTTTGCTTATCTCGTTCTCTGTCTACATAAAGATGCCTACTCATAGCACTTTTCCAATATGGGATTTTTCAATGATGATGATGATTATAATGGTTTTGTATCGACAGGAGCCTTTCTTTCCCCCTCTGTGCTCACTTTTTTGGGGGTGACCGTACACTCGTGCTGATACGTGCTGTCGGGAAGCCTTCATCCAGCAGTCGATTGATCATGGGTGATGATAGGGATGATATATCTATTTCACCACAACGCAGAGTCATAACTTATTAGGCTCTGAATTCCAAATTTGTATTCGATTCGTTAAATTATATTTTAAAAGTATTGTTGTTTTTGGCTGTGGACAGGATGGGTGACCACATCTGGTACATGAATGAGAACGCCACACCTTAAATAATTGTACATGCAGCTACTAGGCATCGATGTAATATTAAAGTACACGTGCTTACAGTGAACTTGAAATCCACCGTGTCGATTTTACGATTCAATCACGATCATGATTTTTCAACCGTAGATAAGCCCATCGTCTTCGTTGCGTCGTGCTTTGGACTCGGATGTTTAAAATCGAGAGAGAGAGAGAAAAACGCAACCTCTAATTGCCGAATTTCCTCTGAACAATAGCATAGTCGAAATGTCAATTTTCACTGGCAAAAGCCACATTGCAAAGTTCAAACCAAATACTGTACGTTGACAACAATCTCAGCAACAAACGCAACACGCATATTAGGAAGTCACAAAACGCGTAAATCCGCAATCGCAAATGATGAACGCCGCATGAAATCCAAGGAAAAGAATGACCTTTCCTTCGCAGCAAGACGTCTTTATCCCGGGTAAACTAAATGGCAAGAGAAAAAAAATATATCCCTATTGGACATCCCACCCTGTTTTGCTATTAATTATTAACGGTGTAATTTCTCAAGGTTATTGGGTAAAGGACAGAGTGGGGAGGGGAAAAAATACATTTTTTTTTTCCAAGGACATCCTAAAGCAGGTTAATATTGCTTAGAAGAACGATTTTATTAAATTTAGAGCTAGGTAATTAAATTATTGCAAATACACGGAATACTTGGCTTTGGTGGCAATACTGTTTTAGATAACCTTCCGTTTCAAAGTCAAACGCGGAATGAATGAGTTTTGAGTACTGTGTGTGAATGAATTACGTGGCCGTGTATGCATTAAAGAGACACTGTGTACGTAAATATTTTTTTCATTAAACTTTCCGTATGCGAGGCCAACGCATTGGCAAAACGGAGCAATCCCGTAAGGTCAAAAGAGAAATGCATGTTAGCTTCGATCATTGAAGCATCTTTTTTTTCTCAACCGACGGAGAAAAGCAAAAGAAAACTAAACTCTCGCCCCTT